CAGGGCCATCGTGGTTTGCATAGAAAGTTCTAGGACAGCCGGGATTACACAAGAGATTCTGCTTCAAAAAAGAAAAATTAAAACCTCAAGAACTTCTGGAAATATTCTCAGATCCCAAGTATATCATAAAGGTATTATATAACACTGAGAATAAAGTCAATGCTTATATAGGAAGTAATGTTAGGCCAGGTTTATGATAAAAAAATTAATAGAATCCCCAAAATTTATTATAAATCTGATGAAAAATAAGGTTATCTCAGGCTATGTTCTCATTCACAACAGTTAAAAAAACAAAACAAACTCAGTCTTTTAGTTAGTGGTAAAATATTTTGAGGTTTTGGGAAACTGGTAGCTTTGCCAGCTTAAAGCTATGTTTAATCCTGGTTGAACAAAAACAGAATAACTAGCATAACTTTTTTTTTTTTAAAAATGGGTTGAAAAACACATTTCCTATTTCCAAATGATTTAAACCATTTACAAAATGCAACAAGGCTGTGCAAATTTACCTCAGCAAACCATCAACAAGATTGACATTGTAACATACATAATCCATTGCTATTATCTACAGAAGCTTGTAGATATCTTGATAAGTAAATGCAGAAATAAAAAAAAAAAGTTGGTCTGCACAATATATTTAAACTGAGACAATTTCCATTGGTGAAAAGTTATACTGTAGCATTTGGTAAAGGCAAGAGCATTAATCAGCTCCTTGAAAATGTTAAAAAAAAAAAAAAAAAAAAAAAAAAAAAAAAAACAGGAATCACATGTTTTAATTCCAAATATAACTCACTGTATTTAGCACCTCCTGTACTTTCCAGTATATTAGATAATTGCATACCATATTAAAAACAAAATAAAGGAAAACATTCCTGCCACCTACCTTTTTCAAAAAAAACCAAAACTATTAAACATATATACAAGTGTAGCATGTGAAGGTTAGAATGACTAGTCCATAAAACACTGCATTTCTTTTCTTAATTAAAAACAAATTGAGGACTTACAGGGCTTTGGAGGATGGCAGCAAAAGAAGGGAGAAATGTAGAATCATTGGTTTGGGCTAAAAGAGAGCTCTGTGGCCAGGTGGTGGTGGCACACACTTTTAATCCCAGTTCTCCAAGAGGCAAAGGCAGTCGGATCTCTGTGAGTTCAAGGCTAGCCTGGGTCTACAGAGGCATTTCAGGTCAGCCAAGGCTGTACAGAGAAACCCTGCCTCAAAAAACCGAGAGAGAGACAGACTGACAGATATACAGTACTGCTATATTGTGCTCTGAGTCTGAGAATCACAAAGAAAACTTAACAGGTAACAGCAATGTCTGATTCTTGTGTAGCACCAACCATATATAAGCAGTAACAGTAAATATGGAATATGGCTTTATAAAGTAGGAAAGCAGGCTGAGAATGTAGCTCATTGGTAAAGTGACTGCCTAGCATGTACAAGGCCCTGGGCTCAGTTCAATTCCCAGCACCAGGAAGGGAGGGAGGAGGGAGGGAGGAGGGAGGAAGGAGGGAGAGAAGGAGGGAGGGAGGGAACGAGGAAGGGAACGAGGAAGGGAGAGAGAGAGAGAGGAAGAAAAGAGATTAATATGATCAAAGTACATTATGTATACATAACCTCTTCCAATTCATTGTTTTGTACAAATAATATATACCAATAAAATTTAAAAAGACAAAAAAAATTTAAGGAATAGGCACACTGGTGTGTAAAACTTCTGCTTTCACAGGTAAGTTTGATTTTTTGATTCTTGTCAATTGTGTTGGGCTACTGTTTACAGAAGAGTCTGAAGTCAAGCTTTTCCAACAGCTTGGGTTAGCAGAAGGATAGCAGATGATTTCAACAGATGATCTCAACATATGATTTTCTTTCTTTCTTTCTGGTTGTGAACCCAAAGTAAAGAGCTTTGGCAAAGGATGCTAACATCAGGCTGCCATGCAGTATTGTTTAGTATGCTTGTTTAGGTGGGTGAGAGGGGACCAGCACAACACTAGATAAAGGACCTATCTTGCTGTGACAATCTGCACAAGAAATCACATCCCTTTCCAAGGAAGAACTCTCCATATACCTTTTGAGACAGGGGCGCTCTGTAGCCCTGGTTGACCTTGAACTCACAGAGATCCGCCTGCCTCTGCCTCCCAAGTGATGGGATTAAAGATGACACTCCAGTTGTTTTTTTTTTTTTTTTTTTTGGGGGGGGGGTGTTGAGACAGGGTTTCTCTGTGGCTTTGGAGGCTGTCCTGGAACTAGCTCTTGTAGACCAGGCTGGTATCCAACTCACAGAGATCTGCCTGCCTCTGCCTCCCCAGTGCTGGGATTAAAGGCGCGCGCCACCAACACTCCAGATTCTTAACATTTATTTCTTCCCATGGTTCCACTTCAGGGACAATTAGTACCATCAAAATTCACAGATTGGTATTTATAATAAAAAGTAATTTCCTAAATAAATAAACCATGCTATCTACATACCAATGTATTGTTTTATCTGAGAATGAACAAGATAGAGCCAAAAGCTTCACTGATAGTAACTAGGTCCATGACAGAGATAATCCCAACCAGTTTCTACAACCACAATTAAAATTGTGAAAGAGAAGAGACAATATATTATCAAACTTATCCATAACAATAACCCTACATATTGTACGTAGCAAAAATGATATTTCTATAGCAAATGAACCCAATGGTTTTCCTATGGGCAAATTTTTGTATAATTCAAAACTATTTCTTAATGTCTATTGCTTTGTAAGTGATTTTAATCTGAATTTCTCCACTTTAAGACTCAATGTCCAATAATCAGAGTCAGAACAAAACCAGTACTTGCCATTTGCATTTTGAAAACAAACTAATACCACTCACTGATAAAAATAGTATTTTCAAAATACTGGGATAACAAAAACCAACATTAACAATAATTTGAACGCCGAGCGTTGGTGGCGCACGCCTTTAATCCCAGCACTGGGAGGCAGAGGCAGGCAGATCTCTGTGAGTTCAAGGCCAGCCTGGTCTCCAGATCGAGTGCCAGGATAGGCTCCAAAGCTGCACAGAGAAACCCTGTGTTGAAAAACCAAAATAATAATAATAATAATAATAATAATAATAATAATTTGAACTATAAGTGACAATTAGTTCTTAACTGGACCTCCTTTTAAGGCTAACAAATGAAAATGGTAGTTGATTCTAAACACAGGAAGACAGATCTGCTATATACACACACTCTTCAAATTATATAACTGACCTATTTAAAATACATGAATCATGATTCTAGCTCCTTTATCAATTACTACAGTGTAAATCTATTTCTATAATATATGCTAATAAAGCACTGGTGCCGACAAAAACAGTATAGCCACGAGGAGAAACAATCTACAGGAGACCAGACTTCACTGTCTTGGTTCTGTTCTGAGACAAACCAGAATAAGTTCCAGTGGTTTAGTTTCTCAAAATAGATCCAATATGAGAACAAAATATGTTCCTTATAGACACTGATTTCCTCCAAAGAAAACTTGATATAAAACAGGTACAGGTATAATGGCATAAACCCTTCTGCAAGATCCCCAAATGCCTATTCCTCTAAAACTCATTTTTAAAACAAAGGAGTTAGATGCCTTATTCCTTTTTATGTTTCAGTTATTTTCAGAGTAAGGTAATAAGTAACATTTATGCTGGATTTTTAGAATTCTGTGTCATTAGCAAAGTATCAATATTTCAACTGGCTATAATACTCCTTATTAATTCTACAAATAACATATCATTAAAATAACTACCAAACATACAAGTAATTTGTATTTTTTCATATTTAACATTTTCTGATTTTAAATGCATTGCATTAAGCCAAAAGAAATTTAGTTTATCTCTGACATAAGATTTCAAATAGTTGAGCCTTTTAAAGTTAATTATTTCTGTTCTTCTAAGATACATGTATTTTCAGAATCCCAACTATGACTTCACCAGCTGAGGGCATCCCTCAAATTCTCAAACAACCTTTATAGCAGTGGTTCCTAGCCAGTGAGTGGGTCAAGACCCCTTTGGGAGTCAAATGACCCTTTCACATTGGAAAACACAGTTCTTAATATTATGATTCACAATGGAAATGAAAGTACTTAGGAAGTAGGTATAACGAGAGACAATCCGTAGTCCATAAGGGTCAGATATCTTTATTTAGATAAACACCAGCCAAACGCAAGCCAGAGCGTGCCAGGGACAGCAAGGCAGGCAGGCCAGAGAGAAGGGGCCCCCATGTGGCTTGCCTCCCCTTAAAAACCTATCACAAGTCATCCTGACCTTACCTTGACCACGCCTGTCAGGCGTGGTCAGTCATACCTGTAGCCAGCCCTTAGGAGGCGTGGTTACGGTGTCTCCCTACAAGTAGCAAAGAAAGTAATTTTATGTTTGGGTATCATTACAAAATGAGGAATTGTATGAAAAGGCCGAAGAATTAGGAAGGTTGAGACCACTGTGTTATAGTCAAGCTCTTATCCATTAGGAGATCTTATTCTAATTTTAAATCCTTAAGATCAGCAGTGGCTTAAAAGATGTATTTTAGAAACCTATGTATTTCTTCATAAAAAGCAAATAACATCAGGCATAATGGCATGACTGAAATACCAGCTACCTGGTAATCAGAAGGCAGGAGGATTGCCTGAAGTGAAGAATTTGAGGCTAGCTTGAGCAACACAGAGAAACCTTGTATCTCTGATGGCTCTTGTGTCCTAGTATCAAAAATTATGTTTTAGGACAGGGTGAACAATCTAAATAATTTCAAATGAGTTTTAAGAAATAACTAGACTAAACCCATGGGATTACGCTTTAAGATTATACTTCTAACATAAAGAAGAGTTCACATTTTTGTAGAAAATAACTTAGGAATTACTATATCTATCTATCTATCTATCTATCTATCTATCTATCTATCTATCTATATATATCTTAGAAGTTGACAAAAAAGGCTTGCTTTACCATATACATAACATTTCAGTTGGAGAATACAGGGAAAGCACAGACACTTTACCTGCTTCCTGTGAATTTAACACTTCTAAGGCATGCATCATGGCACTTGCGAAGACATTGGCATCCTCTTTGCTGCCAAAGTTGAGACCATACACCTGTCTAGCATCCCGCCATTGGTGGAAAGTCTGTGTAGCTTGATTGTACTTCAGCCCTTTAGGAATGGCACAATTTATCACGACCTAAAAGGCAATAATTCAATAAAGTCAAGCTGACAACTGGGAAAATAATATAAGCCAACACAAACCCTGGCTGTGGGCTATTTTTTTTTTAAGATTTTATTTATTTATTATGTATAAAACATTCTGCTTCCATGTATATCTGCACACCAGAAGAGGACACCAGATCTCATAACAGATGGTTGTGAGCCACCATGTGGTTGCTGGGAATTGAACTGAGGATCTCTGGAAGAGCAGTCAGTGCTCTTAACCTCTGAGCCATCTCTCCAGCCCTGGCTGTGGGCTATTTACTTAAACTTGTTCCTAGCAGACTTTTTGTCAAAACTAAGAAATGAGTCTGACGGAACTTAAGGTATCTTAGGGTTAGAAAAGGCCTGTGTTAAAATAGTAAATTCAACAAAAGAAAAGCAATGCACCTCATTACTTTAACATGTTTGTTGGAAAACTACAAATACAAAACTGGAATATTAACTATAAGGGGCCTCTTGACACCCGCCCACCCTGCTGCCGCCCATCCTGAGGATTCCAGAAAAACAGAGTTACAGAATCCATGTTTAGCCAGGCGGCGGCGGTGGCGGTGGCAGTGGCGGTGGCGGTGGCGGTGGCGGAGGCGCGCTCCCTTAATCCCCAGCACTTGGGAGGCAGAGGCAGGTGGATCTCTGTGAGTTGGAGACCAATCTGGTCTACAAGAGCTAGTTCCAGGACAGGCTTCAAAGCTACACAGAGAAATCCTGTCTCATGAAAAGAGAGAGAGAAAAAGGAAGAATCCATGTACGTGGATTCAGAGATGTACGTGTCCTCTCCTCACATTCATATCTGAGAGTCATCCACTTGTAAGCACAACCATGGTTTGTTAAGTTTCATTGTTTTATGCAATATTCCTTTATATCAATCTGCCCATTCTTGCACTAGCATTTTTATTGCACAGAATTTATTGCTCCTACAAATGGACATGATAATTCTACGAAGCATCGCCTGGTATACATAGCACATAGTTATACTGAAAACGCACCCATGAGTACAATTAGCATAGGTCATATTTGCATTTAATTTCAGGAGAAAACTCCACATTATCCTACCACGTGCTCTTCCAGAGCCATATATGAAAATTTGTGTGACTCCATATACCATGCAGCATTACTACCGATAATGTTAGTCTTTGCTTTATAGCAATTCTGGTGTGTGTCTTTGTGTTCTAGTGTAAATTACACTATGCAGCTCACTAGTGAGTTTTAGTACTTTTTCAAGTTCTGGAAACAATTTAACTTATTATGTGTGCATAATGAGGTTCGGGAGAAGGCATGCATGTCATGGCACATGTGTAGAGGTCAAATGACAACTCTGTGGCTCTGGTTCTCTTCCCATCTTTATGTAGCTTCTGGAGATAAAACTTATGTTGCTAGACTACATAGCAGGGGCCTTCACCCACTAAGTTATACATACATAGGCTCCCTTTTTGTGTTTTATTTTCTCCAAATTATTTCTATTGTGAATTACTCTGGTCCATTTCTCTCCTCTATGATTCATCTTTTTCTTTACATATTATCCCAAAGGGAAGGTATCTGTGTGACAAATACCTTGTGCCATTCCATAACTTGCCTATTAGTGATATCCACCTTTTATTTCAGATTAGTAATCCTTTTTTCTCTTAATGTTTTTGTGTTCTGTTTAAAGAAATATTTTTCAATCTAAGTAATAAAAATACTACCTCATTTTGTCTTATAGAAGCTTTATTACTCTTACCACTAACATCTGTATCTCTAGTACAACTGGAATTGGTTCAAGCCTATGGTGTGAGATGGGTTCCCGAGTCACTTCTATGAACAAAGATGAAGGTCAACCTTTTATCACAAACTGTGTTTTGTCCCACTGGTAAATATATCGAGTATTTGCCCAACTCTAGTGTCTTACCTAGTGAAGCTTTCTGCCGGGTCTCAGCCACTCAACTTTGTTCTTCTACTCTGTTCCTCGTTACTACTTTAGCTATTTTTGGTTCTTTGTATAAAACTCCCATTTACACACCCATTGTCAATCTCCAAATTTAAGATTGCAATGAAGAAAAAAAAAGGGCAGGGGTGGCACATGCCTTAAAATCTAGCACTCAAAAGAGGCAAAGGAAAGTGGATCTCTGAATTCCAGACCAGCCTGATTTACAGACTGAGTTCCAGGTCGGCCAGTGCCACACAAAGAAACCCTGTCTCAAAAAAAGATTGTACTGAAGCTAACAGAACAATTTGATCACTGATGTCAGAGTTATCTCATGAATATCACATATTCCTTATTTAGGTTGGCTTTAACACTCAATAGTTCTCTGTATTGGTATCTTGAGCACCTATCATAAATTTGTCCAGTATTTGATAAAACATTGTTATTTGGTTTGAAAATGTTCTCCAGGGTTCACGGTTAAACACGGGCCCTAGCTGGTGGCACTGTTTGACAAAGTTGTAGAACTTTCAGAAGGCTGAGCATTTCTAGAGGAGGTGGGTCACTGGAGGCAAGCCTTGAAGATCTACAGCCTGGCTTCACTTCCTATCCTCTCTGCTTCCTAGTTGGTGGTGCAATGTGACCAGTCAGATTGCTGTTCCTTCTGACTTAAGTTGCTATCGTCAGCATATTTTATAACAGCATCAGAAAAGTCACTAAGACTAAGACACTATTATAAACAGTATCGGTTAAAGGAATTTTCTAACTCAGATAAAAACTACTTTTAGATGCAACATACCTAGAGCATTTATTAGACTTACTTCTTGATTCTAACCTATTACTAATCTAAGATGTATTAATTCTAACATTTATGTTCAGGTTTCTTCCCTCCAAATAATCATGTTGCCTACAACTAACTTTTTCATATCTCCCTTTTTAATCCTTGTACATTTTCTTTTCTTTCCTTTATCTACTGGTTAGACATACAGCAAAGTTAAAAAGATACACTTGATAACAAGTATTTTTTGTCTGATGTTATCTTCTGAAGAGTATGAACATTAAGCTTGTTAGGTAAAGATGCACTGTAAAATGCTCAAGTTGTAATAAATTACAGCAAGGACATAAAAGAAACCATTTTGTTGAGAAGATAGGGAAATGAGTCATAAGCTGACTTTACAGATGACGTCAATACCCTAGCAGGTCATAAGAATATAAATATTTGGGGTGGAGAGATGGCTCAGTGGTTAAGAGCACTGGCTGCTCTTCCAGAAGACCTGGGTTCAATACCCAGCACCCACATGGCAGCTCACAGCTGTGTGTAATTGCACTTCCAGGGGATATAACACTAATGTACATAAAATAAAATTTAAAAAAAAAGCCATCTTAAAAAAAAAGGAATTTAAAAGAGTGTTATGGCCAGGTTAAAAATGAATAGGTTCGTGTTAGATGGAAGAACCACTTATGTGGACTCTGATGGCATGAGATTATAACACAGTTTGGGCATATAGTATGCTTTCATGATCAGTCATTCACTAAGTGAAACTATAATATACTTTTTTGTTTTTGTTTTCAGTTTTTTGATCACAGGATCCCTCTGCTATAAAGCCCTGGCTGTCCTATAATTTGCTATGTAGACCAGGCTGGTCTTGAACTTACAGAGATCCACTTGCCTCCAAATGCAGGGATTCAAGGCAGGCACTACCACACTAGGCTACATTTCTTATTTTTAAAGATCAGTTACAATTCTGTCCTTCCTCAAAGGTTACATAATTGAAAAAAAAAATGATTCCTATTTTTGTTTGTTTGTATTGAAGATAGGATCTCACTATACAGCCCTTGCTGGCCTGGAACTCACAGAGAGCTACCTGGTTTCTGTCTTCTAAGTGCTGGTATTAAAGGAGCCCTCCATTTTCTGGCCTCCACATGTGATTCAGACATATATGCAGGCAAAACATCCATACACAGGAGAAAAATGTCCAACAACTTTTAAAGGTCCTTCTTGTTGTTGTTGTTTGTGTTTTTCAAGAGGTTTCCCTTCTCTTGTGTAGTCCTGGCTGTCCTCAAACTCACAGAGATATGCCTGTCTCTTCCTCCCAATTACTGGTATTAAGGGTGTGAGCCACCACCACCCAGCCAGTTTTTATCTTTTAGTTTTCATTTTCTCCACAGCATCACAGGTAGTACTGACATGGCTTTAACCCAGTGGCTCTCAACCTGTAGACCATGACCCCATTGGGGGTCAAATGACCCTTTCACAGGGATCACATATCAGATATCCTGCACATCAGATATTTACATATAACTCATAGCTAGCAATATTACAATTAGGAAGTAACAATAAAAATAATTGTATGGTGGGGGGGTCAACACAACATGAGTAACCGTATTAAAGGGTTGTGGTTTAGGAAAGTTTAGAACCACTGGTCTAACCGAAGGGACCACTACTCTGCTGGAGGATGGATGAAAAGAGAAAGAGCATAACTGAACAACAGTCAGGCAGAGAGGAGTGGAGTTTTGGGTAGAGACACTGAGGAGACTAGAGGCTGTGAGGAAATTGGAGCACAGAAGGAAAGGAGAGGCTAGGGAGGAGGAAGGGGACACAAAGATAAGAGGTGAATAATTTCTGTAGACTAACCCAACCCAACCCTGAAGCTTTTCTCATCAGAGAAGCACTGCATTTTCAATCAGGTGTCCTAAGACTTTCACTGCAACCTGCGTCAGTCAATCACTTACATAAGGGCACAATGCAGTTTCTATTTCCTAGGGAAACTCCTAAATCTCCTCAGACAAAAAGGGCTCTTCTCTTTGTCCTCTTTTTATGAGATACAGCCTCTCTGAGTCCCAATTTTGTGCAAAAGTACAAGTATCAATGCCCATTTGCTTCACACATGCATGACAAATATAAATCCCAAGCTATTAACACTTTGCCAACCAACTTCAAATCAATGGCTATTGCAGTCAGTATATGTTTACATTACGTCTTATTAGAAAATTATTAATCTCTCTTTTAACAAGAGCTCACAGGGCACCAGGTAGAATTTAGCTGTATTTTCTTTGTACTTTGTAGCAAGATGGTTAAAACATTAGTTTAGATTACATCTTTGGAAAATACTTTTCCAAAGGTACTTAGTAAATCTATAACGAGTAAAAGTTCCTGCTGCTGGGGCTGGAGAGATGGCTCAGAGGTTAAGAGCATTAACTGCTCTTCCAGAGGTCCTGAGTTCAATTCCCAGCAACCACATGGTGGCTCACAACCATCCGTTATGAGATCTGGTGCCCTCTTCTGGTGTGCAGATATACATGGAAGCAGAATGTTGCATACATAATAAATAAATAAAATATTTAATTAAAAAAAAAGTTCCTGCTGCTAGTATACAGTGAACACCAGTAAGGCCTGATCTACCTTTCCCTCTGCCAACAGCCCTGACCCGGATCTGATTAAGACATTAAGTAATCATACAACCCAGTTACTTTCTTGAAAATTTGGAATAGGGAATTACCAAAAGCTCAGCTGTGACCTTCGATATTACCTGGAAAGAAAAGCCCAATTATTCCAGCACAAGTCATGCCTTCCACTTTAAAAAAAAAAAAAAAAAAAATCACTTATGGATTTAACAATACTTTCTGAAACTATTTATGCATTCAAATCCTTTCTCTAGCCTCATAAAATAAACAAATGAGTTCCAAAAGCATACAATGTGCTCTTTACATAGTATTTCATCTTCGACTATTCTGAATTTAGATTATAAAAATTGGCCATTTGGATGTCCAAATAAGACAATCTAGTGAAGACAAAAACACATAAAACAGCTCCTGCTCGGTGAGGCTTGATGGACAAAGTGGTAAGAGAAACAGACTCCCAGGAGCTGTGCTCTGGCCTCCCCGTGTGCACGTGTGCACTCACACACACACACACACACACACACACACACACACACACACACACACACACACACACGTGTGCACAAACACACACTGTAAAGGCTGTCAGCAGCCCCTCACCTGATGGTCTTGGATCTTCCTGCCCACCACTCTGAAGGTGTTGTTGCCTGTGTGGTGATATATATGCACTCTGCTGAACCCAGTTGAGCCACCAGCTGGCACCCACTTCTTATTGGCATCATCGTAAACCATCACAGCAGCTCTTGCCTGACAGATACTCTGTTCACTGTAAAACACAAAATTCAAATGAGATATTTAAGAAGTGCAAGGTAAGCCACAGAGCCATGAGCAAGATAAGCCAACATGGCGTCAGTTTACAACAAACAGTGGCAAAGTACAGTACGGGTGGGGTTTGGGATCTACAAAAATACAAAGAACACCACAAATATTTTATTCTAAATGAATAAATCTATTAATACAACTACATACATTAGCCACCACTTGTTTAACTATACGATGGTGGCCTGTCTGAGATTTATTTTCTGCTTGTGGACAAAATTAGTTTTATCATTAGGATCACTTAAACGTCTCTAACAAATCCAGTCAAAGGAGTATCTGTTCTTCCAAACATGGAAATAAAACTAATAATCAGTGGCTAACAACATGATCAATTCCTTTCATTCCCTTTAGTCAAGTTAATATCCTGTACTTGAATATCTTTTTTTCCTTTGAAAGTATATGAATAGGAGGCTGAAGAAAGAGCTCAGGGATTAAGAGAGCTTAATGCTCTCACAGACAACCCAATTTTGAGTCCCAGCACCCAGACTGGACAGCTCACAACCACCTGTAATTACAGTCAGGAGACCGATGCCTCTGGTTACCACAGGCACTTACCGAGCACATGTGCACGAGCGTGAGTGCGCGCGCACACACACCACTAAATAAAAAAGACTAAAAGATGGTTTCTAAGGATCCTACTGGATTTAAAATCCTCTTCTTCACAGATAAATTCTTTTTTAAGGAAAAGAGCAGAATTACTTGTTACTAGATGATACTTAGACACACCAATAAAGATGAGGTCAATTTCTTACTGAACAATACATTCCCCTTTCAAATTTTCTAATGTTTTTTTGGGAAAATGTGATTAAATGTCACCTTATTCTATGCCACACTTCTTTTTCAATATTATGTGTCAAAGAACACAAAAAAACCTGCTGACGACTAACCTAGTTAGACCAACAACTCTAGAGCAGTGGTTCTCAACCTGGGGGCCACGGTTCCTCTGGGGGCCACATATTAGATGTCCTGCACGTCAGATATTTACAATTCACAACAGTAGCAAAATTACAGTTATGAAGTAGCAACAAAGTAATTTTATGGCTGGGGGTCACCACAACAAGAGGATCTGTGTTAAAGGGCCACAGCATCAGGAAGGCTAAGAACCACTGCTCTAGAGGAATAAGCCTACTTTTGAGTGGTTAAAACAGATGCTCCTAAGTAGTTCATGGGGTCCCCATCCCATTTGTAGTAAAAGTACTTATTCAGTCTACCAATTTCTGCCTCAAGAGATCTCAAGACAATACACTGTGTATATTATATAGATAGCACCCTCATCTTCTCTCCATCCATCCAAGAGGGACAATGAACAGAGCTTTGCAGGAGATGGTTTGTGTGCTCCTCGTTGACAAGATCATGGGAGACCTAAAGAAATCACTTCAATGAATTAGAGATTTGCTTCAGAGAAATTAGTTATAATTGTTTTAATTTTCTATTAGGGAAATTCTACAAAACCTAAGATATAAACATTGTGTAGGAAGTCCTTTGGTGCTATCTCAAATTTTATGCTGCCTAGAAATTTTTTGGGGATAGAAACAAGTCAATGACTAAAGCCTGGATTATTTTTTTTAAAGAGTATTATTTAAAGCTATTTTTCAGTACAGAGGTTAAAAACTCATTAGTCACAAGAGAAGCAAATATTAAGTGATAATTTCAATCTAAATATAGCAAAGATGATTGAAATTAGCAAAGCTTCCAATAGCTTACAAGTACAGAAACAAATTTACTATGAAATGAAATGAAAAAGATAAACAATCCTGTGAATTAATGCAAAACTACAACTTTCAGTGTTCAAAAATCAGTACTGGCCAGACAGGCACAAGCCTTTAATCCCGGCACTTGAGAGGCATAGGTAGACACATCTCTGAGGTTAAGGCCAGCCAGGTTGTAAAACAAGACCATATCTCATAAATAAATAAATAAATAAATAAATAAATAAATAAATAAATAAAATGGCATTCCAGGAGGCCATTAAAGCCTGATGACTTCATCAGATACAACAGTGAACACATGTAACTCTGGCAATCTCATGGAGACAGAAGACAGGAGACAACACACAAAGGCTCACAGACCATCTAGCATTCATCTACCAACTCTGGCCACAGATAGGACACACAAATTAAGCCAATAGTAATCAAGTTCTTTATTTCATGGAACTACAAATCTAAAACAGATTGGGTGAATCAATCAATAAGGAACACGATGCTAATATTTTGGTTTATTAGCAACTTGGGTAGATAAACTGTAGGGAAGACCATAATAAGTTTTTAAAATGAGGATTGAAAAAAAATCCCTAGGAATAAAAGAGATGGAGAAATGCCTCAGCAGTTAAGAGAACAGCTTCTCTTCCAGAGGACCCTGATTCAATTTCCAGCACCCACGTGACGGCTCACAACTGTCTGTAAATCCAGTCCCAGGAAATCTGGCAGGTACCAGGCACATATGTGTATATACATATACATAGGCAAAACACCAACACTTAAAATGACCAAATGAAGTAACTTTAGTTTTCTAGACATTACATTGCTCATGTTTGTATTTTATCTGTTTTTAGTCCAATGAAATCATCAAAGATATACTTTAAAATAAGATGGCTCTGTGAGGTACAGCAGTATATATATATACCTGTGATCCCAACACCCAGGAGGCTGATGGCAGGAAGAGCCAAAGCTCAAAGCCAGTCTTGTTATAGGGAAAAACTCTTAGCTAATTTATGGCTGTTCTCAGTCACAGAAAGTATTCCTGGTATACATCCAAGAACAGAACATCTTTATATGCACCATGACATGCCTCAAAATAAAAACTTGTCATAATCTTCACATTTCTGAATCAGTGAAACAATTATGAAAAAGATTAAATAAGTAAACTACTAAACTGTAATTTTGTGAAGATTAGGTACTAAATTAGCCATAAACAAAACCCACATTCTTATGATGCAATGTAATTAGTATAGAGTTGATTATACTTCATGTTCCTAATGTTAATTTTGGTATTTTCCAATGAAATACAGCATTAAAAAGCTAAGGATTGCTGGTTTACCACCCCCCCACACACACACAGATACACAAAGTGTAAAGAAACATGTTATGTATAATAGTGTATAGCTTGGTCAGCTACTTCATTTCTGAATAAAAGTAGGTATATATAATGGTAGAGAATACACATCAAAAATAGGCATCAATAAATAAATGTTTATATTTAAGGAAAAAATATATATTCTTGTATATACTATCTAGTAATAATGCAATAAAGCAGTCTTTTACAAACAGTAATTTCCTTTCAAAGACATCATCTACTAATCATTTGTTAAAGTATAAATATCCCGGTGCCCTACACACAGTAGGTACTCCTGAAACACTATTAAGTAGATAATCACACCTAACAAAATCTGACTTATCAAAACCTGAATTACTTTCCCTTTTGTTAAGTCTCCCCAGGGTCCCCAAAGCCATCATTAATTGCTTCCTTTTGTGTTTTCCTAGTGAGATTCTCTGTCTAGGTAAAATTTAAAAGTTAAAATGACAGTAAAATACTGGAGGGCTTAAAGTAGAACATGACTTAACATTTTCAAAAACATGACTCTAGCTACCATGAACTAAAGACTGTGGAAGGTGATGTAGAAAGTTAGAACAGAAGCAAGATTATTAGACTAGAAGACAGAAGAACATGTGAAGTGTTTGAAGTATAACACAAAGGATAAAAACTATGGAAATAACTAGCATGTACTAATATTCCTGCTTTATTTTTATTTTTTTAAAAAAGGGCATTGTTTTGATGTGAGCTCCTTCACTAGGTGCTAAAAGACCAGGTCATACCAAAATGGAGTCATTAATGCTAACTGACACACAATCAAATTGAAGCTTTAAGTAGACAGATCCTCAAACAGAGCAGTTGTTTCTCTGCCCCCACACCCCCAGAAAAGGAAGTACGATAGAGTCAGGGTAATCTATAAATCCCAAGTTCCCTCCGGTGTAACACTCACAAGAAAGCTGACTGATGTCACTGAGCCCCTGTCCCCCTATTACTGTTATTTGTTCCCACCTTACAAAACCCAAAGCCCATTTTTAACTCCCACTGCCAAGAAGCTCACTGGTGAGCATATACATAAAAGTCAATTAGATACGAGATGAAATTTTTGTCGATTTTTTTACAGCCCCTCCCCTCCCAAGACACTGACGACTTAGACTCCTGGGGAAAAAAAATGCAGAAGAGGGGCTAAAAGTTCCGTTTGTGGCCCCTGGCCTTCCTCCTGGAGTACCACCAACCAAAGTTCTTCTCATTGACTGGGCTTTGCTCCTCTTTCCTCAAGTCACTTTTCCCTTCAAGTTCACAGGTTTCCAAACCCACGGTTGGTTTGTACTGTGGAAGTGGAGTGACCTTTGGGACTTTGCAGTGAGTGAAAAGTCACTGTCATGAACTGTAGCTTTAAAATTAACTGCAGGTACGGTACGTGGTAGGACAGCTGAGAGCCGAACCTCTGGCTTTTCAAATAAGGAAGCCTTTACCACGGCTCTCTGTAATAGAAATCACCTGCTAGCCAATCATGGGAATTTCAGGGTCAAAGCCACAACTTAGCTGGGGGTCAGCAGTCAGACACGTAACCTTTTGATGACTCACCTTCAGACAAAAAAAATGACTGTTAGGATCCCAACCCCAGAGCCTCTTCTAACAGATTCAAAATTCAACATGAACATGGGATCCTTCGATGTTTTGGGAGGAGGGGTGTTCCCAAGACAGGGTCACTGGTTGTCTGGACCTCATTATATAGACCATACTGACCTCAAACTCAGTCCTTGCTCACAGACACCCAGCAGTCTCAGGCAGCTTCTGCCCCCCAGTGATACGATTAAAACCACATGCCACTCTGCCTGGCTCTTCATTTCTGGAGAACTGACTCTGATAGCTTCTGCCTGCCAATGCATTTTTAAATGACGAGAAGCACCACACGTACAAAGGGCATATTA